CTGTAACTTCTGCATAAGTATGGCATTTAAGAGAAGAGTCATATTTAGTTCCAAAAGAAACAGTGATAGAAATGTGGTTTGGAAGTACAGTAGAAATTTGGCATACAGAGGTATGCTCTTTGGAATGAGAAGGCTTTGTGGATTGGATATGAGGAATAGAAGAGGTTTACTTTTCTATCGTATAAAAACTGTTTTAACATATGTTTAACTGTTATCACTCTTACATCTTTCACGTAATGTACAAATTTCTTTTGTAAAAACTAAACCTGACATCAACATCTCCAGTTATGATTGGCTAGACTCCGAGGTCAACTCATCTGTAACATCTGGTTTACCTGACATCAACATCTGTACCTATATGTTACATTGCACTCACTAATCATCACCCTTTATTCTCCTGAAGAAGAATAGTCTACCATTTGAAAGTGCTTAAGTTTTCAGTCTTCTTTTGAAATTCATTGCTTACTTTGTGTGCGATCCTATGTGCTAACTTTTTATCAGAATCAACATCCTTGAGATATTGCTTGACCACCATCTTCAGACTGGTCATCTTACAGACAGTTTCACTGTTATTTCTTACATAAACCAACAGAGAGGCACACACTCATGGGACCTCTGCTTTCTGACTTGTGACTTTCTCCTTTGGGCTTACAACCACCACATTTAGTTGTCAGGCTGTTGTTATCATAGGAGCTTTGACCTTGGTGGTGGATCAGCTATGCAGTCAGGACTGTATCCTTCCCATGGTGCTGTCTATACATTCACTGATGTTTCAGTGGATTTGTTCCCCCTATGTAAGTACACTTATTGATACCATTGTGACTCTCCTCACTGGTAAGTTTCCACTTTCCTAGTCATAACTTTAGGCTTCTACAACTCTGGCTTTGGATGCTGTGAATCGGGATATATTGAACCACATTCTTTATGTTGGTCAATGACCTTCCATCTCTTCCCTGGCCTTTTTCTATTTCATCAGTCATCCTTCTCATCTGGTTTCTCTTCCTGACTGTTTAGTTCTTAGGACTACCACATGTCCCCCAATCAAACCTTTGGCCACCTGTTCTCTGTACCATCCATCTTTCTGTAATGATGTATTTTATTCTCTTTGCTTGTGAGAGACATCTCCCATACTCTTTACTACAGGAACAGGTTGATTTTATCCCCAGACCACTCCTTCCTCCCCAGATGGTGATTGAATGTTTTCTTCAATCACTCTTCCTTCCATTTCTTCTCTGTACAATCATTCTGACTTCTATCATCTTCTTTGACCCATTAGAACAGTTTGTTATTATCTCACTTGTACTGTCCCTCTTTGAGGCATTCAACATTATTTTTCCTTGTTGTGTGATTCTGCTTCCTCTCATAACTTATTTCCTTCCGCTTTTGGGTTCAACAACTCATCCAGTTAATGTTTCCTTCTATGAATGATGAAACTTTTCATCTTTTTTGTGTCATTTCCCATCAAGTTCATCATTTTATGGCTTTTTTTTGCCTCTAGTCATCAATGTCTTCTAGATTTTATCTTACAGGTGGGGATGTGGAGAACTCCATACACCTTTGTGTCACAGTGCTTACACCACATTATGTTTTCATTTGCATCTGGGTTTTGTCTCCGTCTAGTCACCATTTTCCAATTTTCACAGTCTTTAAGGAGTAAGTTATTTATTTAATTTTCTTGCAGCTGTCTAATAACCTTATTCTGTAGCCGATTGAACCCACTATATGGCCAGTGTTTCCTCACTGAGAATACTTCTCTTTCCTGAAATCTGCAACAAATAGAGGATGAAAATGTTAAGCCCTTCTGCCTCTGCTAAGTGCCCACTGTTGAAATGGGTTCTTCCATAAAACTTTCCAGGCTGTATTTCAGAAACAAAAAATAAGACTACAACACCAAGTGTGACCTGTGCCCTCACATCTGGTTAGTGCATGCTATTCATGTTTGCATAATTTTTTGCACAGTCTATCAGTGTGGGATCTTACAAAGATATAATGATGCCCATTCAGTCTGATCATCACTCTAGTGTTCTACCCTAAAGATATTCCTTCATCCCATTTTTTTCTAATGGGGTAAATGGAGAACCCTTCCTTTTCCAGTTCCAAGCCACTGGAGAGGTTGATAAGAAGACTTTCCCTTTGGGTCAGTGTAATCCCACTGTATGAGACCAAGTGGATGCACCTTAAATTAGAAGAAGGGCTAAGAGGGTTTACCTAGAAGTATAGTACAGACCACCCCCCTACAATAAGAACTAGACAAGTGTTAGTGGTTATGCCCAGTTGGATTGGTCTTGGATGATTCTTCCCTCTGCCTGCTTATTCTTGTATTTCTTCAATCTGTATGGCCTGACTTATTGTCCTAGCCTCACTGCACATGCATACTCTGTCAAAACCCTTAAGATATACAGGACAGTTGAGCAGTATTTACATTTTGCCTACCTATGCAGCACTTTAGCACCTTAAAGGAGGTTTTTTACTGTACCTTTTGCTTTACCACTTCTGTTACTGGCTGAAGAACATTTTCTGCAGGAGCTAGATATGGTCTGCTACCAAGTGATGCACCACCTCCCTTCCTCAGTGAGTGACATGCTGTATGAGTTTTCCCTTTAAGACACTGTATTATCAGAAAGGAACTCATCATTTATCTACACCAATCCCTCCACCATCTTATCAATGTGGCATTCTAGCTATTAGTTTGTTAGAGAGGTTAGCAGCATTTCTGAAGTTTACATTTTTCTACTTGAAAATCTATTTCATATAGATTCTTACCTTTCCACAGAACTACCCATCTGTCATCTCCACCTCTAGTTGTTTTTTTTGCCTTATCAAGAAAGAGCTTTTGTTAATATGATGTATATTATTAATGGAGGATGCTTTGCCCTTCTGCTGCTGATGGGCTATAGTCTAATGATGATTACATCTTAGACTGGTGCATTACACATTGGATAGTGTAGAGGTGGTAGTTTTGTTCAAAGCTTGCCACATTCACAAGAATCTTTTCAGTAGTGGTGCATAGTAATAGCTATCAGTTCTGTGTACAAGTGAGTATTTATAAAACATACCTAATGAAAATTTTGATGCTCTTTAAAACTTACAAAACGTATTTTATTTTGTACAAAATTTTTAATGCAGGAATAATATTTCTTTAGAGCATATTCATGAAAATTTAGAACTTCCTTTCTCATTTATAACAGAATAAAATTTATGTTTATTTGTTGTAATCTGCTAAGCTTTGGTCAGGTGTTTGAATATATTTTATACTCTTCATGCACTTCATTCCAGATTTATCTTAAATGTAATACTGATTAATGAGCAGAAGCCCATTACTTCAGACTCAAACCAAAGAAAAAGATGAACTATTCAGCTTTATGTGACTTTACAGGAAAACACAAGGACATCAATTTTGTGACTTTCCACATAGAAATGTGCTTTGGAAAGCTCTTTCAGTGGATTTAGGATATTAACTATTGTCGAAGTTCAAAGACATGACTGTTAGAAGGAATGATGACAAGTGGTGGGTCTGTTGTGAATGATTCATTAAAGCCAGGTGGTCTTTGATTCAAGGTTAGTGAAAGTGTATGAGCCAGTTTGCTTAATAATAACAAGTGAAAGCCAACTTAACCTTCTTCTAGAGCATTCATGTGATTAGTTACACAAGGTTTAACCTTGTTGTAGTGCATACATGTGACGTAAATACATTACTTTTGACAACTGTAATATTACTAAGTTAAAGGCACAGTCATGGATACACAAATTGTCCCTAACTATCACTTGCATGTTAATGTCTAAGAAATGACAGGAAACAAACCTCTATTTTGGCTCAAGCTAACTCATGAGAGCTTGATATAATTGTAATGGTTTTACCCAGATGGGAATTGAATGAGTTTTCTCCACTTTATGTCATATGAAATATCTGCTTACTGCTTTTGTAGAGTTGACAATTACTTTACATTTCTGCAAATTTTCAAAAATCAGGTCTTGACAATATGTTCTTTGTATAGTAATGGGTCAGGTATTTTAAATAAATATGATAAATTACATTAGCATTAAAACAAAAATATCTTTCCGAGTAAACAAGCAAAGTTATTGGTATAAGAGGTTTATGGAGCTGTGTTTCATGTAAATATGAATATGCTATAGAAATATTTATCAAAGACTGCTTGGCTGATATTGGTTAGAAAAGACCAGCAGTTTTAATGTTAACAGTAAATGTTTAAAAGACAAAACACTTGAAGATGAAAGTCACTGAGAAAAAACAGTTTCAATGTGCATTGATGTGTTACATTCTTCAAATGACAACAGTCTTAACCACTACTGTGTCTGTTGAATCACGATGAGAGTGCTCCTTGACACATTTATATTAACTCTTATATCCTTTACATTATGTCCTGTATTTCAGTGATAGTGACATGTTTAACTGACCATCCTCTGTATCACTCAATGCCCTATATCTCAGTGATGGTGACATTCTCAACTGATCATTTTGTATTTCACTTGCTGTGATACATTCAAGTGGTGTTACCATGTTCATGTGGGTATTCTGTACTTTACTTACTGATCTACATTCAAGTGGTGTTACCATGTTCATGTGGGTATTCTGTACTTTACTTACTGATCTACATTCAAGTGGTGTTACCATGTTCATGTGGGTATTCTGTACTTTACTTACTGATCTACATTCTTGATGAAAGTGACATGTTCAAGTATGTTACTTTATATTTAATATTTTGGTGACAGTTTCAGGTTAGGTGATTGTACTGTATTTACAATACTTCTACTTTAGTTATTCATATTGCTGAAGAGAACAAGTTGAGAGTTTTACCTTTTATTATTTTTTGCTATGCATACAGTAATATTTATTTAATGTACTTGTATTGTTTATATATGGCTTCTTCTGTTTGTGTATGAATGATTGAGATTAATTATATTTAAAACTAGAAAAATTATCTTCTATTTACATTTTTTGGACTTTTGAGCATACTAGTGTGTTTTCGATATACTTCTAGGGTGAATTATGCAGAACAGTTGTTCCTGATGACAGCACATGGACTGTAGGTATGTGTCCATTACAGCTTTCAGTCTTTCTTTTTTTTTCAGTTGAAGAGCTTAATATCTTGCCTTATATGTGTGTTAAGTATTCAGTCTTGTTCAATGATTTTAAACACTTTTTCTTTCTTTATATTATCCTTTGCAAACATAAATTAATATAGTTGTGATCTAATTTAAAGGTTTTAACACAGATTTTAAAGGAAATATTAGTTTTCTTCTTAACATTGCAGTCAATGGTGTAGTGACAGGGAGGGGGTTTAACCTTCATGGCTATGGCTAAGTGATTCAAGGTAACTTTCAAGTAACCATCCACTTAGTGAATCATTCAGTAGCAATAGAGTCGGAGAATGTGTTTGAGATTGTTTATTTTCAATCTGGTAGTTGTACAGTATTAAATCCGTTCACAATGAGTGATAAGAAGTGGAAGAAAACCAACCTGCATTCTGTGTTCAAGGTTCGGTTAAATGTTGAAGAATGAACTGAACTTACTGAAGAATCTGTTTCTGATCCACCTAAAGGTAGTGTGTATCAGTAAGTCAGCACAAATGTAGTTGCAATAGTAACTTCAAAGAATGACATCAGTCTCTTTGTCAGAGAAGGGTCTAAGAGGGTAAGCGTTTGTTACACACGAGTTTTTATATTGTTATTTACTGGAAATACAATAATATAATGTTTCATCATAGGTCTATAAATCTTTCCTTTGTTATTGTAAGTGATGATTGTCTTTATTGGTAAGTAACAAGAATGAGCCAGATCCAGTTCAACAGTTTTTATAACATAAGTTGTTATCTGGGTTATCAGAATGATCTTGGACCACATGCTTACATATATAAATGTCAATATTTAAGTTTGCTTATATTTTGCATGAATGCCTATTAATGCTGTATAAAGAAAAAAATACTACAGTTAAAGAATCCCATTTTGCACTTGTGAATCCTCTCAGGTTGCATATGATGACTGAAGAAGTACACTTATTATTTTTGTAAAAAGTCTGGTGCTAAAATGAGCTATATTTCTGTGGGTGCCCATGTGTTTGATTATATAATCTGCTGATTAGTTTTGGTTGCATATGAATTGCATTTAGACATCTAACATACACTTTAAGAAAATCTTGTATTATATTAAATAGTTATTGGTTAAAGTTTATAGAGGGGTGAAATTTGCTTTGTCCAATATTATGCCATTGGCTAAATATGGGTTTGAAGGGAGTTATATGAATAATTAAACTGTAGCTGTATTGTTGCAAATGTAATGAAGGAGTTATGGTGTGTGTTACATTCTATGGAATGTACATACAGCCAATCCAACAACCAACTATATATACATTCTATGGAATGTACATACAGCCAATCCAACAACCAACTATATATACATTCTATGGAATGTACATACAGCCAATCCAACAACCAACTATATATACATTCTGTGGAATGTACATACAGCCAATCCAACAACCAACTATATATATACAAAATCTCAAAGAAATCACACACTAAATGAATATATTCCAAGAGCTATGACCAAAATGTTTGGTCAGCAGGGCATTATGTTGTTCCATTGTGAGTAACACACTATTTGACAAAAAAAAACTAAGTTTCTTTATGCATTTACAGGAGCTTTTTTGTATTCATTATTCTACCCCACATAACTTTTAATTATTATTTTTAATTGTTAAAATACTATCAGAGTGCATTTAAAACCATCTGTTTATATATTGTTCAATTACAGCTTTTCAGTTAACTTATAGTTGAATTAAAATTACCTGTGTTAATACTACTTTTAATTTTACAAATTTTATAAAATACCCTGTACCACATTTACTTATATTCTTATTTTAATTAATTTTGTTCTTCCACATTTTTCTCTAAGCCTGTATTCTAATTTTCATGATATTGTTGAGGGTTTAATGCACCTAAGTATGGGCTCAAAATGTTTCCCAGTGACATTGTTATTTATTGATTTTTCAACATTAATAACTCATAAAGATGTTGAAGTGCTCTTAAGATAATCTTTATTATCAAGCCAGTTTATTTAACAACAGTATGATCTTGGAATACACGCATCTTAGGCCAGCTGGTGTTTGATTCACAAACTCTTATGACAACTATGCTGTCCAGTTTGTATCAACCCTACAGCTATAACACAATCTGTAAAATCAGAAGCATGTGCTTCAGTTAAATCAGGTGTTATATCACTAAGTTTTATATACTATCATGAAAAAGCAAGTATGTTTTGTTTACTCTATTTAATTATGCAAACATAATTTATGGTATTAACCAGGCATTTTTTTACTGTTTTGAGGCTTTCTGTTTTAACTGTGCTAAAAACACTAAAACATGAATAAATCATACTACAGCTTGTTTAAGTGTGAGACCACAAAATAAAAGCTCCAATTTTTTGAACAGTTATAATAAGCTTTCCTGTCCTTATAGCTCAGTGTGTTGTTTGTTGGGGTAAAATAACTGATTGTTTCAATAAAATCTTAGAGGAGCAGAAACGGATAGTGATCTTACTCACCAAGGCAGAACCTGCAAGCTTTGAAAAGTTCTGGGAATCTCTCCTTATAGGACAGTTTGCACCTGATCCCTGGCTTAAACTCGAAATGATGAAAAAACTAGACCTGGAAAGGTTTCAGATTGAGGCAAGTCCTATTGAATTTCTCTTTTAATTGTTTGCTACATTTTGGAAGTGAGTATCAGACAGTGCAAACTGTGCCCATGTTATAAGAAAAATGTATGAAAGTGCTTGTGATACTTTTCTAGGTTTTAAGAACATGCAAACACATTCTAGTGAAAGTTCATTGATGACTTGTCATATGAAATCAAATAGATTTTGAAGGTAGTAAGTTGAAATTTCACACTGCTACATGTGCTAGGTAGAGAAATTAATTTATTGTTTTAGTCTGGATGGTATGCTGGACCTAGAATTCAAGGGTTTATAGTTCCTGTCCTTTTGCCACAAAATTGTGCATTATAAGAATGATGATCATAGCTCAAGGGTTGCCAGCTAGTGCTGTCGACTAGCTGTTTTCCCTCTAGTCTATCACTTTAAACTTTGGGACAGGTAATGCAGATAGTCCTTGTGTAAATTTTCATGGATGTCCAAAACAATACTTTATGTCTTGAAGTTCCTCTACCATATGCAAAGAAGCAGACTTAATTAAATTCCAGTTTTAATGTGTTTGTAAAAGATGGTACTATGTTAGAATTAGTTAATATTCCTGAAAACACTAATATTTTAATCATATTACAGAACCCAGGGTTTGACTTCAGTAGTGCTAAGCTATCCAAATGTTATGACAACATGGAACCGACAGTCATGTCCAGTGAAGACAAATAAAAGAGTGCTATAGATGAAAATAGATTTAGAATTATTGTATACACCATGAGAATGAAATTAAAAATTGTTATTGTCAGTTTTATACCTGTTCTTTTCCGAAAAAAAAAAAAACACTAAATCAAATTTTCTTAAAAACATTTACTGTGGAAAACAAAACAACTGACTTTTGATAAAAAAAAAGTGCTGGGATCAGTAAAATTCTTGATTGTTTCCAAATTATGCTAACTTATGTATTAACAACAAAGCCTATAGAGAGTTGAGTATGTTATATTAAAATGATTTTTAATAGCATGTATTGGAACAATATTTTGACATTGTTTGGCATTTTGTAGGTAGTGTGATACTACCAAAAACTGTTTGCTTTTGATTTGAGAAGGGTATATAACAGCCTTTTCAAACACAAAATAGTCATAAACTTGGAATTTCCAAGACATGGATTATTTGGCATTGGAAAATAGATCAACTTAGGGCACCAGGACTACTCAGAAAGGGTCTTACAATTTGTAACTCATCCATAGTATGTGAAGTGCAGCATCTTGTAACATGCGAGAATCCACAGACACACAGGTTAGAGGTAACAGCATGCTACACAATAAAGAAGGTACTTCACCTAGAAATGAGGTCAACAGGGTTTAGGTTCCCCAAGATAAGGCATCTAGTCATACCTCCCATTCAACTGTCACATAACTCAAACAGCTGGAGAATGAAGACAGACTGGTCAAGTCACTAGATGCAGTGCCTATGGATTTTTCTACTACCGTACTGTTGTAGTGGGCACTAGGAAACTATCAACCTTGTACAGTAGATCAATTATGAAATACATACAGTGGTGTGCATTGGACACAACAGCCATAGGAATGAGTTTTTTGCAATGGTAACTATGCTACAGGAAATATAATGATGTAGTGAGGTTTGAAGCTCCACAAGTCATTTTAATATAATTTAATCAATCTCTGGATAAAGTATTAGTTCTAGATTATTGTACATATAAGACAATTACTGTTTATTTACTTATTTTAAATGTACTGGTAACTTTAGGTTGATCAAATCCTTATAAAATTGGGTATTGACTACAAGTGAAATTGTAGGTGAAACATGCATATAGAATTTACTTTTAACTTTTATCGAAGGTCATGTTAGGAGAACTGCTTTATGAACTATGGTAAAAGTCCATATAATGGACTCGTACTACATTGGTCATTTAAAATGTTGTCCTAACACTTACTTTATTTAATGAAATAGTTTAGTTCATGAACATTTGCATGAAAAGTTAATAATTGCTTAAAAAACAGACCAAAAATTAGAAAAAATCAATAAGTATCATTTGTAGCTACTAGAATATAATGTAAAGGTCTAATGGTTATGTTGCAAGATATGGCTTATTAATTGGTACAGAGGGAATAAACATCTTATAAAATTGCTCTTGTAGTAAAGTGTTCAAGTCTTGCCTATGAACACTAAGGTCTTATGTAGCCAGCAAAATATGATTCATATTAATTGCTGGGGTAATGTTTTATAATCTGTATTCATAATTACCCTTCAGATTATCAACTTTATACTATTCACTGTTGGGGGATTTCACACATACTTTTGCCTGTTGAAATATCTAACCTAAAGAAATGGGTGAAGTCATTCATTCTCTCCAAACTACATAGAAGTGTTCAGCAGTAATTAGTGTAATTAACTGCAATATTGATGATATTTTTTGTACAACTTGTAAGTAATTAAGGACCTTGAAAACAGATGGACAAGAATTATTTTTATTTGTTAACAACATGAAACAAAATTAAGCTAAACTGTCATGTGTAACTTTGGTATAAGTCACTTATGTGTCAAATACAACAGGTAGTAACAATATTTCATTCAAGTTCACATTTTTGTATAAAGTTTATCACTGAACACATAATGTTGACTCCACACTTCTATTTTGTTGGAAAGTTCCTTCAGTTTTTGGTGGCATTCTGCCTCAGGACACAAACTCTCAATCTTTGAACACCACTCTTTCACTTGAATCAAAGACTTATGAGGATTAGGGAATGGAAACTCCTAAATGAAAAAAAAAAAACTTATGTTGTAACTTTGTGCACCAACACTTTGAAACTTAACTTGTAACAGTTCTTGAGATTTTTAACTCCACTAGTTTTGTATCAACCCTTGGTCAGCTTTTTCTCATAAGTGAATTTATCCTTAACATGGAATTCCTGCAAATACAACTTTATGATATTAAAAAGACCTCTTGTTTTATAGATTTTCTTACAGAATATGATGAGTAGGTAGAGTTCTTCATGGAGAGAGGATAGCAAAATTCAAACCAGGTTTGTAATAACACTGCAGATCCTTTACACCACTCAATCTGCTTATATTCCTTCCCAGTTTAAACATTTTTGAACAAGATAATTTCCAACTTCTAAATGTAATTCCATTTGTAAGAAGACCATAGCATGCTTTCTTTCAACTTTTTCCTAACACTTATTAAACTGGAAAACCACAACTTTCCCATATAATGACATAGGAATAAATCATATTGTAATACTAAGTAACTAAACTTCATCATAATGAAATATCAAGAAATCCTCTGTAAGGAATTATTCTGAATAAACTACTATTATTCAAGACAAATAAAAGTGAAGATAGGAGTATGAAAAATGGCATTTACTCAAAATAATGGGTGGATGATCTATATCCGAGAGTAACAATGTTCTCAATAAGCATGAATAATTTAAGATAAATTATTAAACTCTGGCTTTTAAGTATTGTAAAACTATATATAATACTTATGTTTAGTTTGGATATAATTTTGTCTTGGTATCATAATAAGACATTTATTTTTAAACAACCTTTGAGTTCAAATGAAATAAACCTTTATTTCTCAATGTTTCAGTTGAACACATTTATCAAGGAGCTACAGTGTGAGGTACATTAAACATGCAAATTTATTGTAAGTTATTGTTTACTGTATTTTAAACTATATATTATTTGGAATATTAGTCTGTTTTTTATAAATCTTATAAGTAAAATTATTGTTATTAGTTTTCAAATTGATATAAGTAAAATTAAAATTGTTTCAATTTTTAAATCTGTAGGTTCTGTAACACACACACATACCTCAGTTAGTTTTTTCAAGTCTTTGAGTTTCTCTAATAAGTGTATTCTTTCTTCCTGTAATTCACACACAGAGGTGATGGTGCTTGAAACACTCAAAGGACTTGATCTCTGAGAATCACTTTTGTGGATGAAAAATGTTTTCTGTCCTCCATCTCCTTCTAATATAACTCTCTCTTCTTTCAACTCATCCATATTTTCCATAGAACACACACCAAGCAACTGTGATGTAACAGTATCTTTTTTAGACTTATCCATCTTTTCCACAGAACATACAAGTGACTCTGATGTCACAGTCTCTTGTTTAGATTCATCCGTTTTTTCTACAGAACACACACCAAGTGACTCTGATGTCACAGTCTCTTTTTTAGATTCATCCATCTTTTCCACAGAACACACACCAAGTGACTCTGATGTCACAGTCTCTTTTTTAGACTTATCCATCTTTTCCACAGAACACACACCAAGTGACTCTGATGTAACAGTATCTTTTTTAGATTCATCCATCTTTTCCACAGAACACAGACCATGTGACTCTGCACCTGTTTTTCCTCTTTGAGTCAGACATTTTGATGTATCCTCTGTTACTGTTTTCTCAGCATTTTGGATACTTGTGTCTTCTTGAAGGTTGAAAGAATTATTGGTAATATTAATTTCCTTTGAATCACATGAAAAAGTATTTTCCTTTATGGATTTTTGTTCATCTCCAGCAAATGAATAATTACTTATTTTTTTAAACTTATAAGGACCAGGTTTTTGTTTTGCACAAGTGATTTTTGTTTTTTGATGCTGATCAGCCTTTTGTAAAGCTATTTCATTTTCAACTGCCTTAACTTTGTCATGCAAATAATGTTCGAGAACAAAAATATCACAAAGTAGGTAATTAGTTAAATGGGCAAGAACATCAGGTAAAAACCTACACAGGTTCAGATTTTTGTCCTCTGTTCTTTCAATGAACTTGTCCAGTTGAGATAGCCAATTAACAGAAAAAAATGCCAATACTGGAATTACAGTTTTACAAACCCAAACCTTTTCAAAAAATTCTTGTGAGTCATACTGTAAAATATTTTCTATAAGAACATCAGCTGAATTTAGTTCAGAAAGTTGCTTCTCATCAGAAGAATCCGGAAGATCTGCTAGTGTTAAATGCACTCCTAATGGAAGTTCACTATGCCATAACTCCTCGAGGTTCAAACAGGCATTAACTGCCGAGTAGTTGGGTTTCAATAAGTGTATTCCTCTTACAGTTGCTATCCTGCTAGAATCCCACTTAAGTTCTAGTAATGAAAATAGAGAATTATCTACTTTTATAACATCTTAAAAATATATACATTTTACAGAAACTTCATAAACTAACTTGTTCTCAATATCAAACAGCCTAGTACTACACTGATTTCCAGGAAAAAAAACTTTACCTGGATAATGTCTTATCAAGGTTTCTGATAAAAAGAAATAGAAATAAGATACAACAATGCTGGAAAAGAAGATTTGAAGAAGAAGAAAATGATAACATAGCACATCAGTCTAGAGCAGCTGGTTGAAGTTTTCTAAAATACAACAACCCTGAATTAGAAAGTTTAAAGATAATGATGATGACATAGCACAGCAATCTAAAGTGGATGGTTAAAGCTTTATAGTATACAGCAAAACAATGCTGGGTGAGAAACAATGTACCAAAAGATGACATAAAAAATAATTATAAATATAAAAAATTTATAAAAATAATTAAATAAATAATTCACATTTATGAAGAATTAAATGCTTAATCTGTTGTCATGACTTAACAGTATGCTACTTATCACATTTAAGGAAAGAAATGGTTGCAAATTGAACTTCTGTCTATAAACATGCCAGTGTAACAAATATGGACATGAAATGGAAAAGAAGGAAATAAGAGGAAACATATGCATAGCACGAGCACAATATCCATGTATTTTGTGTTGCATACCACCATTGTGCAAGTCTTGCTGTTAGCTCTCAAACACACATAAATTTTGGGAGATTCTTTTTTTTTCACAAAATCTCAATAAGGGTGACAATAAGCATGTTGAATCGTTTGCCCTTGAGTGTTTGCACAAATCTCATAACCTGTAATTTTTTATACAATGCATGGATTTTTTTCACATCCCTAAACAAAATCACTTATAATTAAAGAGGCCAACATTCATGGGCAAATGCAACATGTCACAGACACATTCCCAACACGGCCAATTTTGACACTAAGAAAAATAATAATAAATGTAGAAAAATCTAACACTGTTTATTTCATTGTTTAAGGCCTGGAAGAATGTATCTTTGTTCCAAATCCCATGCAAGTTGGTTGACATACACATGAATATTTCAAATTGTGCTTTCCTTCCTGAAAAATTGAGCAAAAGACAAAAATTTCAAAATCGTCTATATCTCTATTTGGGATCTGTAAAAAAAGTATCTTTGTACCAAATCCCATGTAAACTGGTTAAAGTATGGCCAAATAATTGATTGAAAAACCCAAAATTATGATTTTTTGGTGAGCTCTGACCCTTCCCTAAAAAGACTCAAAAATGGGTAAATCCAACTTTTTTGTATATCAAGAAATGTAGGAATGATAGCGGATTGAAAAGTGTTTGGAAGAAGAAGAAACAACAGAAATGGTCTATGTCTTTCTGTGGAGATGTAATAAATATAATAAAACTACATGTAGATTTAATATATCAATGTGTCACCTGTAGTTGTTTGACTGTGAGTAATTTAATAAAGTGCTTGTTAAATTATAGTCACATTCAATGTCACATACGGTGCAAGTTTTCCAAAGGTATTTACACAGAAACCAATGGACATAAAAATAAGTACATATTTGATTTTTTTTTCTTTCTAATTCAGAAAAGTAAATTTTCTAGTTTATACCTAATAAAATTAACACACAAATTCATAAGTATTGGAACTAAAAAAATACACATTTTTCCACTATAATTTTGTAGTCACTGATGCTAATTATGATGAAGAACGAATCCCTCTGATTAATTTTAGGAATTCTGGCATTCTAAATCTATTACTTCTACAGTTACCAAATAGCAGTTAAAAGTTAAATGTACTAATTTGTTCCATACTGACTTAATACACTGGACCATAACAGGTTTTATTGGTACTGAAAAGGGAACTTTTGATTTGGATGTAATCCTCAAAAAAGTATTTCATTTTCTTATCTTTGATGTGTAGAAAACTTACCTTTAGAAAATATCAGTCGACATAGAAAATGAAATTTATCTGGAAACTTTTGACTGTTGGCAAGAGATAAAGCTGTAGTTAAATGTTTGAAAGATGCTGATGAAGTATCAGTTAATCTCTGTTCTTCTCGAAGTAGAAATAGGGTGAAGTGAATGGATATTTGAAATAACAACTGAAAAGAAAAAAAATATACACTTCAGTATATATGTTCATCTACAGAATTCTTAAAACTTTACTGGTTAACTGACAGTGTGTATTCAAGCACTTCTGCAGTTGTTACACACTGAGCTACTGTGTGTTCAAGCACTCCTGGAGATGTTACACACTGAGTTATTGTGTGTTCAAGCACTTCTGGTAATGCTACACACTGAACAACTGTGTGTTCAAGCACTTTTGGGGATGCTACACACTGAGCAACTGTGTGTTCAAGCACTTTTGGAGATGCTACACACTGAGCAACTGTGTGTTCAAGCACTCTTAGGGTTGCTAAATTGGTTCAGACACAACAAAATCATCATGTATGGTAAAGACGTTTACAATCAAATGTTTCCTTCTTTATACTATAGACTTAGAAATTATTACTAATAACAACTAGCAAACCTCTTGTTGAGTGTACGGTGGCTGTTTCTTCATGAAGAGTTCACTGATAACTTGACAAATTACATCAACATGTTCCCAATCCTGCAGAAGTTCATCCTCTTTCCATTTTGTTAAGATACTGGTAAAAAATGACTCTCCACTTTGAACATGTCCCTTCCAGATAACAGGCTGCGAGTCATTAAAATTTTCAGGCAATATGGAAGAGTTGGAACCTGTTTGGAAAGAAAGAAAAACCATGTACTCAGTTATAGCACTATATTCTTGAGCAAGGAATATAATCTAAATTCGTGATTCCAATATGATGGCTCCCAGAAACAACCAGTAGATAAATAAACAAACAAAAAGAAAGGTAATAAGTGAAATATTTGATTTTTCTGGAAAACTTATAATTTGTACAGGTTTTAGAGATAGGTGAAAAGTGTTGTTTCCTGCTTAGTTCACTGTTAAGTAAGTAAGCTTCATAACTTTCACTTCAAAGCTTCTTTAAGAACATAAAGTAGGAAACAATACTTTGCTAACTTCCAGCACGACACTCCTTCACTTTTGTCACTTGATTATAGACTAGTATGTGAAGTGAAAAAAGTTGGGATCCACAGATGTGAATGACATTACAGTTTTACTCACAGGTTAAATTTATCACACTATAGCATTAATGTTTCTTGCTGATGATTTAAGAAGTCAAACAGGTGTGTTACATAACTACATTATCTGTATATAAGAAGCTTTACACTATTTTAGTGACCAGACTTCCACACAGAGTAAATGTAATTAAAAACATATAATGTAATCCAGGCATCAAAACTACATAAAACTAGGCAAGGTTTGATACACACATAATTTTCAAGATTTATTTACCAAATAAACAAAAAAAAACAGAAGTTCCAATTTCTATAATAAAGATTCTTTTGTTAATTATAAACTAAAGAAGGCCTTACTTGTGGAAATATCACTGAAAACGTTTCATTCACTTGTAGGTTCAACCTGACTGAATGTTATATCACTGTGTCCATCTCAGTAGCATACATACAGTTAAATATTTAGTATATACTTTACTTTCAATTGAAACATCCCTGGAACTTATGCTTTCGACTTTGAGAATGTATTGGTGATAAATGTGTAATAATTATTTCAGTATTGACGAAAACACTCCTGGAACTTATGTTTGGATCTTCCTTAGGTAGACATAGGAAACTTATTTATCACACATGTATAGTATGGACTTCAAAATAAAATAAAATTTCTTGAGACCATATTTTCACTTCCTCAAGACTAAACACAGAGATTTTATTTAAGTATATATTTCAATTTTATTCCAACGTTTAGCCTCCATCAGTCTGGAATATTTCATGTTAATAAAAGCAGAAAATTGGCATCCAGTTCATACAAAAATGGTATTTTTCCCATGATACAGTGATGTTAGCATTTTATCTTGATATTATGCAGGGCTTGCCTTAGTATTTGTTCTTGACTACCTGGATATTTAACTTACCACTGTAGCTGTAACTTGCAACCATCATAAATCCCTTGGAAAAACTTTCACAGCATGTTTTGCATCATATTTGAAATGTCATATCACTGGAAGAAAAACAATAAATCTTGTGGACTCTGTTGCAGACACTTAAGTAAACATATGCTTCATCCAGTGTGACAACATATTTTATATTTATCACGTATAGATATAGCTCGTACAGCTCTCCACAGTTGGTCTTTTGTTCAACTCTGCAATGGGAGAAGCTTTGGAAAATGGCTCTTGTGTCACTTTAATATATCTAAATCCATGTAAACTTATCTTGTTTATAATTCCAAGGGAAGTCCTTACTTTAGTTGCAATGGATCACAGCATTCTTGGATTACTTCTAGTGAGAAGTTAATTTCTTCATTACTTCCATGTGCAACTGGTAGCCAGTCATGGAATAGCCTGTTTTATCCTCATTAAAATCACGCCTTCTCTTGCTGTATCAATATGGTTTAACATTATAATATTCCTTTATTTAAAGTTCTAAAATTTTGTTGTCTTACATACTTTTATAACTGTGGAATAGAAAACTTCATACTGAAAATGTCTGTAATGCAACCGTCCCACAAAGGGTCAATTTTGAACATGTGCACTTGTAAATCATTACACATCAACTCAATTGCAACAAAAATCATGAATTTAGCCTGTGCATTTATAGGCCACTGGTATGATGACTGGTTATACAAACTAATTGTGAACAACTTTGTTGTCCAACATAAACCTAAAGGTATTTCTTCTTCCTGGTATTAAAAATGCATAATTCGTGTCACCATAATATTCATTATAACTTAGAACTATTCGATTGTTGGAACATAAGGACACAGAGCTAAGAATATTTTAGTAGCAAACCGAAACATTAATTTCACTAACAGTATAACAAGAACTTTAATAAGAAGTTGATTCTAAATCTTCTACTGACTGTGAGTTCTTAGTATAGGCTTGCTTACATATCAATACAGCTAAACACTTAGTACTAACTTCTTATTCCAGAGACTTCTGAATTATCTTGATTACAAATTATCCATGCATGTAAAGCATTGCTTCTGTATGTTTTAAATATTGATGCAAAGCTATACAAGGGATATCTGCACTAACTGTACATTTTGAACTGGTAGACTAGAAGGAAGGCAGCTAGTTAACAGTAACCACTTTCATCTCTTGGGCTATTCTAAGAGTATAGTGGAAATTGATTATCACTTTCATACTGAAACTACAGTCCCAAAGTAAGGAACGTGATTTTTCAGCAATGAGACATGATTCATTCTGACATACTAAACACTTAACGACACAGGCCCATAAAGCACTGCAGACTTATTAAATCATGCTTAATGATCAAATTTAGAAAGAAAAATAATTAGAAAAACAAGACAGCATTTAACATTATCCTCCTAAAAAAAAAAAAAAACTCAAAATATGAAATAAGAGCTGCTGTACAATAATATACTACAACTGAAACTAACCACTAAATGACTACTTTTGAATTACCAATACGATCTATATAGACACTATCGGCTTTTGAAACAAATTTTTTAAAATTATTTAAGCACCAACCTACTTATGAGTTCAAGAATTTGTTGTTTAACTACAATTTCCACAGGAAAGTATAAACACCAACAAAATCAATATTGCAGTTAAACTTGCTAATTACTGCTCAGTCTGTTTTTAACATTAATGTGTCCATTATATCATATAAATAACATGAACAACATTACATCATAAAAAAATCTATATTGCAGTTAAACCAGCTAATTACTGCTCAGTCTGTTTTCAACATTAATATGCTTATTACATCATAATATGAAGGACATAAAATACTCCATATCATACATTTGAATAAACTTTTTAATCTCAAGAATTTAATATTTTGTAATTTCACATCTGCAATAAAAATTAACTCCTTCAAACCCTTCCAAACTTGCTATACATAAACATTTTGCAAAAAGACAAACAGGAAACACATAGAATATAAACACAACAAAAACAAAATGAGCAACACTTATTAAAAAAAAAACACAAAAGTGTTCAACATTTTGATAACATACAGTATATTCTTGACAAACTTTGTTTTCAGCAAGTTCTCATTATAAACATTCATAAAAAGTATCCTAGGCACCTCTGTCTGGTAATATGGTAATCACAGAAAAGAAGCAAAATAGTTTTGTCTTAATGAGTGCATCTTTACAACCTTCAGTAACAATATTAAAAGACTTTGTTCCTGGGTGTTTCACACTTCTACTTTGAACTACGTTGACATATTTTTTTAATGATGGCAGTATTTTTAATGCTGTTTTTGCAATTTTAATGTTTTCCACCCAACCATGTGAGCAAAATTTTACCAGGCATTTGAACTAGACAGTGTCTTATAGTCATCTCTTCTTGATGGAGTGTCATGTAGCAAGATTAAACAGGATGTGAGAAACTGACAAATTCCAACCAAGTTTGGTGTTACCTTCTCTAAAAGTATTATGTAAGATATGCAGTCCATAAGAGCCAATGTCTATGAGTTTTGTTTTGTGAACAAGGTCAACTCCTCCTCAAACTGGGAATAAAATAAACCCAATTAACATTTGATCCATCCATAAATAACTGGGTTAAACTGATGAATCTAAGACTGGATGCTTTTATCACAAGCATCTAGCATATCGTGTGCTGTTGCATGTCCCAAGAACTGAGAATCATAAACTAATTAACATGGCAGTAATTTAGGTTTTAAATCTCACAAGCCTCAAAGGGGCTTGAGAGACAACCTGGGGCACTCAGAAACTGTTGTTTCTAAAATCATAGTATCTGGATATATTTTAAATTCATTGTCTTCAACTCACACTAGCAAGTCCATCTGTTTTTTCTGCAATTCTTTGATTAAACTCTCATAAAAAGAGTAATACACAGCTGTCATTTTTTACTTTAACTTGACAAAGATTTGAAATAGGGAGCAATATCAAACCATTATAAATACATTATTGTCTCCCCACATGTAAATATGTCTGGTAATGGGTCAGTTGGGAACATGTTCGTTAGCACAAGGGCAATATCCTCACTTGATTTAGAGGTACAAACTATTCATAGCTTTAAGGGTCTGCTACATTTCTAATTGTATTTAATGAACCAGAACAATGTGCCTGACTGTGAGCTGATACCTACTCTACTGAATCAACACTTAAGCTAGTATAATATATAGTTGGATTAGCACCTGGGATGTGACTAGAACTGGACTTATATAAGCCTAAAAAGTCACATAACACTGTTCTAATTTTTTTTTTTTTGTAATTAAGCACAAAGCTACACAATGGGCTATTTGTGCTTTGCCCACCACGGGTATTAAAACCCGGATTCTAGTGTTGTAAGTCCGCAGACATACCGCTGTGCCACTAGGGGGCTTTCTAAAATGGAAGCATAACTTCAATATCTCACTCATCACTGGTCTGATGAAATAAGCACCAAACTGCAAAGGATTGTATACTTAAAATTATGCTCCTGAAATAGAAAATAGACTCAACTTTCAGATGATATAATAACAATTTCTTTGTAATTAAAACTTGGGATTTTGTAACAAAACATTTGAAGCATGTCTTCTCTGAAGAAATGGCAGAGAGGAAAGAATAAAATGTTTGAAACCTTCTGAGTGCCATTACAAGAGACTAACTAGTAAAAACAGAAATTCTGTATATGGCCTGGGTGATAAATTGCCACGGTTAAAATATTATATCTTAGGTTGATGGCAATAATATTTCCTATTTCATTCACAAAACTTTAATAACTCACCTTCTCAATTTGTGAATCAGCTGTATTAAGCCTTTTAGACTAGTCCTCTTGTCATATCGAACTGCAGCAAAGAATTAGAATTGCTTCATGAAATTTAAAACTGTGCACCAATCTACAGCTCAGTCTGCCTTATTATGTGCTTTTGAAAAGGAAAATCAGAGAGTAATTACTACACTGAAAATATTTCTCCTACCTATATCTTGAGATAGTTTTTCCAGTTCTTTGGTGAGTCTTTCATGGAGAGAAGATACAAGAAGATATGGCTGTATAGAGACATTTAAGTAATTAGTTCTTTCATCTAAGTATCTGTTTGTGTGTAAATTACTTAAAAAGGTTATAAAAGATTCTTTAAAATAAATATCAAAAAATTACTCCTTTAAACATATTTAAAAGGTGATACAAAGAAGCAAACTTTTCATAAAAAAATTATCTTTTTTTATTCTATAAAGATTTTGAATAGAAGAAACAATGCTTTCTTTCGTTTCACTTTAATTTGCTCACTTCAGTCCTACTTACTTCCTTATTTTAATTCAATTTGGTGTGAAGGTTTCATCCTTCTTGAACATCCTCCTAATACCATGTATTCTTCACAATTATAAATATTCTTATCAAGTATGCAGTATCAGTTTCCCAACAGTAGACTTGTACAACAAAGTGAATCAGTTCAGTTATATTTTTGTTAACTGACTTTTAGAAAACATGCATACTTGACAAACTGCACCACTCAGAGTAACTCACAATTAAAAACTTTCTCTTATTAAACACCATTTAGTTCATAACCAGCAGAATAGGTTTTAAAAATATTATAGATCAGTAACTCACAGTGACAGTTAAAATCTGGTCTTGTACTAAAAACAATGAGTTCATGACCAGCAGAATAAATCATACAAAAGTATTACAGGTGTAAACAAAGTCCAATAAAATATTGAAGATTCCTTTTATAGAATAATCAGAAATCTCTAAAAATATTCAACTCACGAGTATTTGTCAGAAAGACTGATCAACGACAAGATGTGAAATGTTCTTTTGATTCAGCAGACCAAAAGGAAAGAGTTCAAAACAGACAGATTACTTTAAGCAGTTTCAAGAAAAGTTAGGAAGTTTCAACCAGCAATGAATAGTTCAATTACTAGTTAAGTGTTAAAGAAAAAAAGATTGAAAATGTACAAATTAAAAAAGTTTACAAAGAGGATTGTATAAAGTTGTATGTGCTTCTGTTTCATTCTGACATGGATGGTTTCGCATTTGTTTTCCTATATTGCTGGATGTGTATGTATCAGTCTCAATGTGAACAATGTTTTTTTTTATTTTATTTTTCATTCAACACAATATTTACCTGTATCATTATAACACAGGTTGCTAAAAAATGGCAGTGTTGGCCTGGTAAAGTTTCCTCGAGGAAGTGCTGTGAGTAGGTTGGTCACTCACATGGCCTGTCTAGAAACATGGATCAAGAATCTAACATGTGTGCAAGCTGGGGTTTGATTAAGCCCAAATGTGCAATGAAAGAGAAAGGCAGCCAAGCATTAATTGTGTTGGGGGATCCCTGCCTTCTCAGTGGGATGTACCAATGGCCCATCCATACCACAACTTTGGTGAGGCAGAATGACAGAGTAAATGTTATGACCCAAAAGATGGTAAACTATACCTGGGCAGGACAAAGCCAGAGGGAACTCGGAATTCCACAGAAGTTGTCATGCAAATCAATCATAAGACTTTGGTATTGGGTGAAAGACTAATTGAACCATCCAGTAGCTGGTTCCTTCTGAAGTTTCCTTCAGGATTGCTGATGCTAGAGGGTAATCACTCTCATCCACAAAAGTGAATAATCAGAAGTCTTGAGGCAGAAATGACCTCAATCTATTCTCAGGATTTAAGAAATGTAGTAAAAGCACTGCAGGTGGTAGAAGATAAAATTGTCCCAATAATTACAGGCTTATTAGTATTACATCAGTTGTGCAAAAAGTTTCTGAAGTTCTTTTAGGCAATCTATCATTAAGTGGTCTAAAAATGCTCTGCAAAGTCATTTAATAAAGTTAAAAGTTTTGTTGGATAGTCAACATGGTATCACATGGGGTATATCTTGACTTATTAACCTTCTGACATTCTTTGAAGAGGCCACTACTTATGTAGATGAAAGTAAGGGTGTGTATCTTGATTTTCAGAAAGCATTTGACAAGGTTCCACATGAAAAACTTGTTACAAATATTATTTCTATAAGTGTGGGGGATAATAGTTGTTGACTCAATGGATAGAAAAGTGGCAGGAGGGAAGAAAACGTTTGTTTGTTTGTTTTGAATTTCGCGCAAAGCTGCACGAGGGCTA